CAGGTCAGGAAGGACCTTGCATTGAAGAGAATGGTCATCTTCCCAGGTCGTGGTGAACATCTATTTAACTCAGAGCAATAGCTCTGGAAACTGAAGTCCAGCTCCAGGGACAGGCACTGGTAACAAGAGTCAAGTGTATAAACATGACCAGTGCTGACATAAAAATATTCCAAACATAGGTACCTACCTTTTTCCCCTGATTGTCAGACATGACTGTCTCACCAAGTTAGATTATCACAGTGCTAACTTGTGACCTGAACTCAAAAGGAGGAGAATATGGAGGAAATGAAAACATGGTGTGTGAAGAGGAGAAACCCGGCCCTCAGGGAGAAGCCAAGGTTCCCTTCTTGGTGACTGAGAAATTCATGAGATGGGCTAACTGCTCACTCCATTCCACGGTGACAGGGCTCTCCAGGCTCAGATGCTCCACTTGGCAGGAGTAAACCTCTGCACTCTGAGGAACGGCTTCAAGCATCATCAGCATCTGCAAGGTCCAGTCTTCCTGAGCTCCCCTCTGAAATCTTCTATTCAGCTCTTTAACTTTTTTATTTCATCCTTTTGCTTAGGCTTCCTGGTGCTCTAGTGCTATATTCAGAATCTTTTCTGACATCTATTTTGGTCTTTCCTTCTTTGTATTTGTAATGATCTTTTGGTTTCTTCATGGATGATACTCTTGATATCTTCTCACAGCTGATCTGGCCTTTATATATTAGTGTTCAAGGCCTCAAATTTGTAAATGAGCTATTTATTATATGCAGGGAGGATAGAATCAAGATAAAATTTAGGTATAAGTAACAACATCACAGAATCCATTTAAGAAATAGTTATATCATATGCACACCCATCTTTATTGCGGCTTTTTCACAATAGCAAAGAGTTGGAAACAACCTAAGTGCCCTTCAACAAACGAATGGATAGAGAAGCTGTGGTCCATTCACACAATGGAATACTATGCTACATTGAAAAACAAGGAACTTATGAAATATTATATAAAATGGGTGATCCTGGAGGACATTATGCTGAGTGAAATATCTCAGTCACAAAAGGACAAATACTGCATAGTGCCACTGTTGTAAAATGAGACTGACATCATTGTTGGGGGGAGATTGAGAAAGGGGATACATTATGTATACTGCATTGAAACATATGAGGGAGAGAACTGTTTAAAGAGTATATATGATTAAGTATTATTATCATGACAGGAGTCCAAAATGAAGGCTGCATAGTGGAGTGGATGTGGGGAGAGGGATTGTATAACAACGAAGACGTTTTCTTTTATTTTGCAAAGAGAAGAGCGAACTGGGCAAGAGGGGTTGGCCGGGAGAAAAGTACAACAAAGAATAAATGGAAATCCAAAATCTCTATAAACTTTCATT